GTTTAGTCCCGACAGACCGAAGGGTACACGATAATTCACTAAATGCTGAAACAGTAAATGTGCAGAATTGTTAAGACTCTGACAAGTATACCGAATCTTATCAAGTAATATAAAATGGTAAAACCAAGTATCGTATCCCAAAGCACTCATGGCCTAAACAATTATGTGATTTCTTGATTAAATAAGACTTGAAAAACAAACTCTTTTAGGTTTAGAATGCAAATACTGAAAAGTAGATATGCATACAATTTGATCAATTGGATAAAAGTGCAAAGATGAACGAGTTTTGTTACCAATGAGGAGCATTGGTACTTTAAAGATAAAAGATTTTGATGATGCTACAAGTGATAAAACTCGAAGAATCAAGTCATAATTTTTTTAAAAGCACTTTAATAGTTTGCAAATGTATTCGGAAAAAGTTTAAGCATGTGTAACTTAGAAATTTCGTATACCTGATGAACAAATCTTTAAGCCCCACAAACGGAGTCAAAGACTTGTTAACCCTCGGCAAGTGTAATCGAATCGTATCAAGTAATAACCTGGTAAGACCAAGTATCGTTCTCCCAAAGGACTCACGGCCTATACAATTGTGTGGTTTGTTGATTAGCTAAGACTTGCAAAACCGATTGATTAAGATTTAAATGCAAATACTCAAAATTAAATATGTATGCATGTATTGATCAATGGCAAGAAGAAACAAAACACTTGATTTGAATTATATGAATGAATATGTTGTTGGGGTTTATCAATTTCATCCTATCCACTCTCTTGTATTTAGGAATTCATCATTCTTATCATTAATGTTAATGTCACTTTCTAAATTACTTAAAAACCGATGTCTCAAAGAAGAAAGCCTAATCATAATCACTAGTTTACAATGTCTTGTCTCCCTAGCAATTAATCATGCATTATAGTGAACAGAAGCTTAAAGGCAACCAACTATCATACTCCTATGTCTAGGTTGGTAATATACTGATGGGAGAGATTCCCCAGATCTAGATTTCCCCGTATGTGTCCATATCGACAAAAACCAATGATCATGACATCGAATGAGTTAAACAATGCATGCTTTGAGCAAAGAGGGAAAACCCTAACTACTAATGAAAGAAAGCATGTATCATAAAGATGATCTTTAAGAACAAATTCCATACAAGAGATTTTCTAAGGATTTACATTGATTCCTCAACAACAAAATAAGTTTAGTTCACCATACTCATGGTGAAACTAGATGAAATACAATGAAAGAGTNCATGCATTTGGCTAACAAAAGGGTTACCAACAAATGGCCTTGATCATATGATGCAAACAAGCAAGTGATTCAATCATAGCAAACCTGGGCAAAGTCATTCATGCTTTCAAAGTAATAACATTCAACAACAACTCTGGAGCTCAAAATCTCACATATAAGCTCATTCACATTCCACATACACATCCTGCTTAGCATCATAATCACAATCACAACATCATGCATTTGTTCACATAGCTCGTGAACCACCTATATAAGCATATAATGTGCACATTCTCCACATCAATCAAGATTCAAACACATTAAGCATTACTCATCATGCAATAAGTCATAAGCAAACCATCATAACAGACAAGTTTCAAATTGAGAACATCAACCCTATTCTAAAAACAAAAGCAAATAAGTTCAATATTACAAAACCAAAGATAGAAAAGATCCTGCTCTAGTGTTGATAGCATCCATCAGTAGATGATATCTAAGATCCTCATCAGCCTGTGATGTCATCTGTATCTTCCTCCTCTTCATTATCTTCAGCATCATAAAATGCGTCATCATCATCATCATCTTCATCTTCCTCCATATGAGCTTAAATGAATCAAAGCATGTGTGCATCTTGACTGAATTCTTTTTTATGAGCTGATTTGAGTAATTACTTATCTTCAAAGAAAGAGTTTTTGAATGTGTTGAACCATTGTATTGATTGGTGGAAGACTGAGTTACATTTTGTTTGCTTGAGGACAAGCAAAGTTCTAAATTTGGGGTAGTGATAACGGTTGAAAAACTGTTATTTGTATACTTATTTTTGACATTAAAAACAACCTTTATGACTTAGAAACTAGCTTGGAATCATGCTTTTGCTTAAGTTTTGGAAATAAGAGAGTTGGATGGATTTTATGCTTGCTTTTCCTTGTTTTGGCAGGAATTAAGATGAATTGGATGAAAGAAGTTGAAGTAGAAGGAGTTAGACTCAGAAAAGGAAGGAAAAGTGCATAAAAGAAGAACTGTTGTCACTGCTCAGCGCTATTTGCACCGCTCAGCGCCAATTTGGCTTATGGATACACTGTTTCGTGCTTAAGCGGCATCGTTGAGGGCAAATTCAAGTATCGCAGTCACCGTTGAGCGCAACTTTTACCGTTGAGCGTCATTCTTTAGAACCGCACTTACCGCTGAGCACCAAACTGCCGCTGAGCACCAAACTGCCGCTGAGCACCATTTAATTAGGCTTGGGCCTATTTTCTGTAATTTTTAATAAACTATATAAGGGCTTAGTTGACCTAGGGTTGGAATCTTTGGACAAAAATAGGCGAAATTACACTCCTTCCATTCCTTGGAGGCGGATTTTGGATGCTAAAGCTCCGATCTTCAACTTTTAGGATTCTATTTCTTTCATTCCTTTCATTATTTTCATCTAGTTTTACCATGTCTATGGTGAACTAAACCTTCATTGTTGTTGGGGAAACGATGTAATCCTTTGAAACTCTCATGTATTGAATTGATTCTTGATTATATATGCTTTACTTTATTAATTGTTAGGGTTTTTTCTCTTTACTCTATGCATGCTTTGTTTAACTCATTCAATTGCATGATTATTGATTTTGTCGATATGGACACATATGGGAAAATCTAGAATTGGGGAAATTCTCCCGGAAACAATATTACCTAGACATATGAATAGAAGGATCGATTGCCTTTAAGCTTCTGTGCGAATGTAATGCATAAATAATTGCTAGGAAAACAAGATATTGTAAACTAGTGATTAGGAGTAGACTTTCTTCACCGAGACATCGGGTTTAAGGTAAATTAGAAAGTGACATTAACATTAATGAAGAAAGATGAATTCATGAATACATGAGAGTAGATAGGATAAGTCGAAAAACCCAAAAACATCATCATTCCATATTTTACATCAATCACTTTTGCATCTTTCAATCCAATTGATAAAAACTTGCATTCATGATTATTTTTCACAATTCAACCAAAATGATTTTGTTTACAAGTCTAATTTAATCAAGAAATCACATAATTGTCTAAGCCGTGAGTCCTTTGGGAAATGATACTTGGTCTTACCCATTATTATTACTTGATACGATTCGGTACACTTGCCGAAGTGTTAACACTTTGCGAAAGAATTTCGAAAACACTATTCACCCCTCATTGTTTTCCCTGTGTTTTCATTTTGTTAGGGGATTTTATATTTATGAAAACTTTGAGATTGAATTTGAGAATTGAAGGATTTTAAAGTTTCCGTTTATATATGGCCTATCATAATTAAGTTTAGTTTTTGTTTAAGCATCTCTTATAAGAATTTAGTGATATCTTTGATGGGGTACACTTTCTCTGTAATCATCAAACTCTTATTGAATTTTGGTTTACTTTTCATGAAACTCTTATTGAATCTTGGTTTACTTTTCAACTTCAGACACTCAAATCTCATATATGCCCCAAATTCTTGCACTCCAAAGAAGACAACATCTTATTGGAAACCTTCATATTTCTTTTGACGAAACAAATCTTTCCCCTTCACAGGAGGAAACCTTTTTTTTTCCTCTACGTTTAAATATCTCCTTAAAATTTTGGGACGTCAAAGATATTTTTTCATCATTTATGTAATCAAACTCAACCTCAGATACTTCAACTTCATTTTTTCAAAAGCTTTAAGAACTCTAACTTCCTTCTATATAGTAGGGAAACCTTGAGCATTACTTTGAGATCTCGATTGATGAGGTTGATGCTTCCTTTTGGGTTTTATATTAGAGGTGCTCTTCATGTAGTGTCAAGGTTCCAAGAAGTTCATCTCATATTATCTTCTTCAAGTTACGGGCCTTTGTAAATGATTGTTTGTTTTTTAGGCTTCTAAATCTCAACCATATTGTCTAACAACTTTAGATTTATTTGAGTCTTGAATAAGCTTTGTCCAATAGCTCCTAAACATATATAAGGTTGTGTAATAGCATATATATAACATCACAATATGTGATAGAATCAGTTTTTTTTTTCTTTCAAAATTTGTTGTGACAATATCATACATCTATCATAAAATTCTTCATGAAGTCTTTGTTAACAAATTTCAAAATATGTGATTAGTCTATTTTTTGTGAGGAACTGAAACATATTATGATAAAAAGAAATTTAAATATGAATGAATACATTCTTACAATATGAAAAATATCGGCAATAACATAACATATTTTTATGTGAAGGATTTAAGTTCCTTTGCATTACGCAATTATATAAGAGGCTTAAATGCTTACTTCGTCCTCATGTTAAGGGGTGAATTTTTGTTTAGTACCCGATTTTAAAAATGCTTCTATTTTATCCTAAAGTAGTATAAATTGTATCAATTTGATCCCTTCCGTTAAATTCACATAAACGGAGTTAACTCCAGCTGACGAATCTGCACTTTTTCTTCTCTCTCCTCTGCATTTCCTACAATGTTCCAGCTTTTTCTGTTCTTCTTCCTCACTTTTTCTGTTCTCCTCTGCACTCACAAATCCATCTCTTACCCTCTGATTCATGCCAACAGCCACCTTCATCTCTCCCACCATCACCTCCCTGTTCACGTGCTGCTCTGTGTAACAGCCACCTTCATCTCTCCCACCATCACCTCCCTGTTCACGTGCTGCTCTGTGTACAGTGGCCATGCAACCATCGACACCCCCGCCATCACCCCTTCCAACACCGAGTTCCACCCGCAGTGACTCACAACACCCCCCCCCCCCCCACCTGTTCACGACTCAACACCTCCACTTGCGGTATGGTATGCATTGTTCCTTATATTCAAGTTTTGTAATGATCTTAGTGTTACTCACGTGACTATCACCATCAGCCCAAAAGCTCACATAAGGATAAATAATTGTGAGAATGCCACATTCTTTTAGATCAGCATTGATTCTCCTGGTAACAGTTACAACACTGATGGAATTGACATTTTTGCTTCAAATCATATCTTGATTGAAGATTCCACCATACGATGTGGTAAATCATGTTTACATATATTAAGTACATGTATCAGATTTCAATGTTGCATGTTGTTAAAATAACTATTGTTTCTGCCATTGTTTTTCTGAAAAGGTGATGACTACATAGCCATCAACGATGGCTCCTCTTACATCAATGCTACTCAAATTGCTTGTGGACCAGGCCATGGAATAAGGTTTATTTATATACATTTTTTATGAAATTATCACCCTTAAACATGGCATCAAACACTAAATTATTTTTGCTATTTTTCTTCCGTCAGTATATATTTCATGATATAATATAATTGTTCAATTTTAGAAAAGTCAAAGTTGATTTTAATATTTAATATAAGCTTTGAAAAAGAAAAACTTAATATCGTTTGTAACTCCAAAAAATTGCAGCTTCACCAACACTACAAATGGAGCAAGAATCAAGACAGCACCAGTAAGTAATAACTGTTTTAAAAAAACATATCAGAAAAAGAAAAAATGTATTTAAATTATTATTAATTTTAATTGTTAACTATATGAGAATATATATTTCATACATTGTTTAACTTTTTGCAGGGTGGATCAGGTTATGCACGACACATAACTTTTGAGGACATCAGATTAATGCACGTTATGAACCCAATTATTATAGACCAGACCTACGGCAGTAAAATTTCGAAGGTACTCTTAAACTTTTTGTTTGTGTTTATATCGTTGTGGTTTCAACTTATTTGTTATATGAATGTTGCATTGTTGAATTTGGTGCACTTAGGGCAAATGATTGAACGTGAGTGATGTGACATTCCGTGGATTCAGAGGAACATCTGCAAGTGACGAAGCTATTACCTTGAATTGTGGTCTACTTGGTTGTTCCAACATTGTTCTGGATGATATTGACATTGTTTCTTATGAACTAGGAAAACGAGTTTCTTGTTCTTGCAACAATGCCCGTGGAATAGTTACATCCGCTGCGGGTGGATATCAGTGTTGGAAGGGGTGGTGGTGGGGTGTCAATGGTTGCGTGGCCACTGTACGCAGAGCAGCACGTGAATAGGGAGGTGATGGTGGGAGAGATGAAGGTGGTTGTTGGCGTGAATCAGAGGGTAGGAGATGGGTTTGTGAGTGCAGAGGAGAACAGAAAAGTGAGGAAGAAGAACAGAAAAAGCTGGAACATTGCAGGAAATGCAGAGGAGAGAGAAGAAAAAAAGCAGATTCGTCAGCTGGAGTTAACTCTGTTTATGTGAATTTAACAGAAGGGATCTAATTGATGCAATTTATACTACTTTGAGATAAAATAGAAGCATTTTTAAAACCGGGTACTAAACAGAAATTCATCCCTTAACATGGGGACGAAGTAACCATTTAAGCCTATATAAGATTGTACAATCCAATAAGTTCCATGCCAATTTCTACCATAACTTTTTATTGAAAGAAATTCAAATATCAACATGTCACACTCTACTCTTACTCTGTAAACTTGAAACAAAAAGATAAAAAAATACACATAATGGTGTTAAAACACCTTTTTATTTCTTTTAATCATAAGCAACACTGTTGTGGTGCAATTGTAACATGAGCTAATATTTCTCTTAAAGTTCATCGTAAAGCATATAACCCCATCTTTAAGTGATTTGAAGAAGATTCTGAGTCCTGAACAATCCATGTAAAATTCGTTAGTATTTTTGTTCTCTATTAATTTCTTATGATATATTGTATACTTTTTACATCAACGTGACTCATGCAAAATATATCACCCACAAGTATGCTGGTAAATAGAGAGATATAGAAAAATAAAATAAAGAAATAAGATAGATAAATAAAAATATATTAAATGCAATTAGAGAAAAAAATAAACGAAAATAAGTCATAAATCATAAATCATTTTTTGGTGAAAAGAAAAGTAATAAAATAAAAAATTATTCTTGAAAACAAACAATTTAATAAAAAAACCTGGAAAAGTAATAAATTAAATATGCCTTTTTAAGTAGAAAGTTAAGTAAGGCTTTATAAAAGAACAAAATTATAAAAGATGGTGCTTAAGTTATTAGCAACGTGACTTAATACCTCGAAATTTAAGCACGTGGTGGAGAAGTGGTTGGCTTCGACTCCTATATTAAAAATGGTTAGTAATTTTCCTTTTAATGTGTAATTGATATTTGAGCTATTAGTGACTTACATTTTTCTCTTCTAAGCTTGATAAATTTTTATCTTCTTGTGTTGACGACGATGTTGAAGTATTATCATTTTTTTTCCTATTAAAAAAAAAGTCAATAATTTTTTATAATAACTAATATTTGAATTATTGACAACTTACTTATCAACTTTGGGATTGGAAGTGCTTGGATCTTCTTGAGTTGATGATAAAGAATCGAGTGGCTTCGAGTCCTATATATTAAAAATGGTTAGTAATTTTTTTATATATAACTTATATTTAAATTATTAATAACTTACTTTTGCCACTTTTGAAGTTGATGGACTCTTATTTGCTTGTATTGATGGTGAGGTTGAACTATCATCATTTTTCTTCCTAGAAAAAAAAGTTAGTAATTTTTTAATAATAACTAATATTTGAATTATTTATAACTTACTTAGAAATGTCTTCCGTTTGAGTTGGGGGTACAGTGGGAGGAGAATGAGCATCACTTTTACTCCTATAAAAGAAAAGTAAAACTTTTAATCAACTAACTTCAATTTGTCTTAATAAATTTTAAGTTATCTATTCAATAAAAGTATATATACCCAATCATTGATCTGATTTAAAGTCTAGATATTTTTATAGTAGATACTTTTAAAATTGATAGGAAAATTATTTAATTCAATTCATTAAATTAAAAAATATTTTATGCAATACACTAAAAAGAAAATAAAATGCTTAAATAAATATCACCATAAATACCTAATAACATAAATATAATAAATCTTTTAGATATTAGTAATGACATACGTACATTTGTATTTTTATACTGGAATTTCGTAGTGTTTGGGTTTATGAGGTGGTGCTATGTGAAGATCACTTCGAATCCTTCGCACAAAAAAGAAAAATAGGACAATATGTCATTATATAACAAGTATAACAAGATAAAATATACATTACCAGTAAAAAGTAACATATATGATTGAAATATTAATTAAAATTATTTAATTTAATTTAGTGAATATATTAATCATAAATAAAATCACCTTAGATACATTATTTGTTTGGGATTTAAGTGTGAATTTTAATTTCATATTAAGTATAAGTGAAAAAGTTAAATATTAAATTACATTTATTATGTTATTTTAACATTTTAAGTTAAAAATGATATTGATTTCTTATGAGTCAAAACTTAAGTTTTATTAGTGATGTATTATGTTTATTTAGTGAATTTGTTTGTATGAAACTAAAAGTTATAATTAGATTCTCCACAATGATAAACTAAATAATATATATATATATATATATATATATATATATATATATATATATATATATATAATGCACGTTTGGTTGGACAGAACTTTGAAATTAGAATGTAAACAAGTAGAAATGAAAATCTACTTACCAATATCTAGTATAAATTTATCTAAAAACCAATGTTTCTTGTTGAATAAGCTCGACCCTAGGATTATAAGCGTATGAAAGAAGATGAAAACAAATGAAAAGGTGAAAAAACAAGTTCAGCCATCAGACATAAAAAGAAATGTAACTGCATAATTTATTATGACAAATGAATTTAAACATTTATTACAAAATAATTATCGCATCACTTACTATGATAAATAAATTTAAATTTATTATAATATGTTTTGTAATTTATTATAAAAATATCATCAAATCTCTTATTATAATAGATGAATTTATAACCTTTATAGTATATTTTGTATTTATAATAAAAATATTAACCATGTTGCTGGATTAAAACCAACACATAAATTATCATGAAAACATAATTTCTAACTAGTGATTTGTGTAATGGATTGTAGTAGAGTTTTAATTATATCTTTTGTAAGAATATTCGTATTTGATTTAAAAAAAAATTTAACCAGAGTGTTTACGTTATACAATTATAAACAATTTCAATATTTTTTAATATTTGTTTACTTCAACATTTTCAATATTATATATAATATTAAATAATTTATTTACATATTACAACAAATTTACTTTGTATACATAATTAAACTAGAATAAAATACAAAAGTCCCATCTACTAGAACAAAAGACAAATAAAGAACCCCAGTAATTATTTTGTTTTAACATTATTCTTCCTCTCAACTAATAATGTAAAGTCCATATTATCAAGAAGCATGAACAGATATAAACATATTAATTATGTTTTGTTCTCAAACGTAAAAACATATGAGCACTGATTAAAGAATATTACCTTATGACAGAAGTAGGAAAATGATGATGCAGTAACCCTAAGAAAAGAAGGAATGGAACACACTCTAGAAGAGCCACATTTAGAAAAAAGTTGTAAAATCTTTCTGAGTTTGATTCTTTGGAAGAAAGAATTGTGATTGTTAACAGAAATGAAGTGATAGTTATAGAGAGGATAGAATGCAAGTTGCATTGCTTAAAAATAGTTTCTTTGCTTATTAGTCTCTTTCTTGTTTCATCATTGTCCTTTTCGAATATTTTAACTCAAAAATAAGTCAGTAATGGCATCATCGTTAACAACTTCAATCTCCACCAACGAGGAAGTTGTATATACAATGATAAAAATATTTTGAGTTATCAAAATTTTTATATAGGTGTATACAATTTTTTTCAGAGATATCAAATATATAAAATATATTAAAATTATTAAAAAATATTTTAAATTATATATTAATTTTTATACGTAGAAAAAACCCTCTCGGCCATCACAATGATTTGTCACTGATTGTATTATGAATTAGTGTCTGATTGGTTTTTCTAATATAAAAATATTATACTATGATAACTTCGGTTGACTTTCACAAAGATTATATAATTATTTGTCTGGTTGAACAATTTTGATGCAGTTTGATATGTATATTTAAAAACAAATTTCTCAGTCAAATGATGTAAAAATATATTTAAATGTGCAATTTGTTGTGAGAACACAGATTTTGCAGCTGAAAGACAAATCAATATCTCAGTTTATAATAGACTGACGGTAGCCACTGTGTACTTATTATGTATCTTTATTGTATAGTTTTAACGAATCAAGTTCCATTCTTTTCTCGTGTTTGATTTTATATCAACTAGTTTTCTGGGAATATTTACCAAAGAATATGAAAGTCGTCGATTATGAATGTGTTCATATATCATAATCCTCTCACTACATCGTCGCCAGCGACTCTTATTCTGTCTTGGTTTTATATGATAGCATTTTATTCGTTATTTCTAGTTTGGAAATGGAATATATCTGCATCAATCCTTGTCTTATATTTTGGTTTGGTACCACTTCTTCCTAAATAAAAGTTCTTAGAAAAGAAAAATGATAGGAATTAGCTTAAACATGAAGCCAGGACCCTTTACATTTTAATCTACATATTTCTATTTTTAGAATTTATTTTCTATATGTAATAATTCATATTTTTACCTTTATTTTTTTATTGTCCATTTGCAGCATCCTTATTTTTTTTGTTTAATTTTAGATACCTTTTTGTTCATGTTTTAAAATACTTCAGTGTTTCTGCTGGAATGGAACGAGAAAAACTCCGGCTGCTTCTGCTCGGGAATGCTCCACCTCCACTGATCGGTCCTCCTTGCTGCCTGGATCTTCCTCTCTCTGTTCTCAAATGGGAGTGACCTGCAGGAAACACTTCGACACTCAAGTCAAAATTTATCTTCGCAAGTCTAGTTAAAATCAGAAATCAGAGCTTTTACCTTCTTAATCAGTTGTTATTTATAGGGTTTCAAGGAATATATAATCCATTAATTTACCTCTTAATGACGATCAATGCAAACCTTAACTGCTCCACAGTGACCGTTACATCATTAATTATGCATTCATTGACATTCAAAGGTTGTCTCCAGCAAACGGCTGGAGAGTTCACGAGTATTATTCTAGTGTCCAACTGGGAATGATTGGCTTCCATCGCCCCTGCATGTCAGGTCGGTCTAACCTCAGTAGTAACACTTCCATCGCCTTTGTATGGTCGGTCGGTCTAACCTACTCAGTAGTAACACAAGTTCCCTAGGCCCTAGCAAAAATATGTTTGCGTAGGGTTTTGAAGTGGTTCCCGATCGGTTCACATCTTCTCTTGTTAAGACCTTCAACCGTCTTCTTGACTTTTGCAAGGGCGTGAAGTCGTAGAGTCATGACTGTAAAAATTAGGCGGGAAAAGTAAAAAATGAATCGCCACATCGCCTAGACCGTCAGATCTTTCTTCATTTGACGCTCTAGATTTGCTTGGCGAATCGCTTTTTACCCTCTATAAATAGCCCTGAATTTGCCCTAATTTTTTACCCCTTTCTCCTCACCTCTGTTACTCTCTCGTGCCTATCTTCCTCATCTTAATCCTGTGCCTCAGGTAATCATGTCTTCTGATGTCGCCGGTGAAGAGGGCAGGGGGTATGCCGATGATAAGGTTGCTACCTCGTCTTCCTCCTCGGGTGTCGTTGCTGGTCAGGGTGTTATAGCCGTCAATTCAGGGAATTCTTCCGATCTTCTGGTGGATAGTGATGCTCCCGAGGAAGTCGCAATTAACATGGACTCCTCCGGTGCTTGGGACGGTAAGCCCAGAGATTGGCCTATTGTTCCTAGCTATGATTGGGTTCCCTACGAGGTTAGGCAAATCTCTTCCTCTTTCTACCATCGCCGTCCATTTAGGGATTTGGCCAGTAGTGTTTGTCTGGTAAAGGCTGCTGAGGACGCTAGTCATTTTAAACTTGTCATTTGCCAAATGACCGAGCGGGTATGCCACGGTCGGGGGAATTACCCCACAAACTTCTTCTATGTTTACGCCACCATGTTTAAAGATTTAAAGGTTCTCCTTCCTTTTTCGGATTTTCAAATGAGCGTTCTAAGGGAGCTTAATGTGGCTCCTACGCAGCTGCATCCGAACGGTTGAGCGTTTATGCAAGCATTCTCTCCCGTTTGTACCGATTTAGCTTTATACCTCACTCCTGGGGCTTTCCTTTACTTTTTTCACGTACAACCTCATCCGACCAAACCCTAGGTTTCCCTCAGAACGATCGGGAATAGACATTTGTTGTCTCTTTTTAATAGTTCGTACAAGAAATTTAAAGGAAACTTCTTTAAGGTCGTACCTTTGGAAACTGGGTATAAGAGATTTTGTTTCCCGGACGGGCGGGCTAAGTTTCCCTTTTATTGGACCAACAACCCCAAGAAGGTTATTTCCTGGCCTAGGTCACAGATGACACCCGAGGATTTGGACTTAATTAATCAATTGAGTCAGCTGCCCCCCAAGTCCTCTTCTCGCGTGCTGATCGGTTTTCTGAACAACAAAAATCTTCCCTCTAATGTGTTCGGTAAGTTTAATTTCGACTGCCTTTTGTTGAGCAGTCATTTGGAACTTATCTAAATTTATTTTTGATGTGTAGATTACTGAGCAAGATGGATCCAGCCAGAAGCAGCACCTTCGCCCGCTTGTTCGCTCAGAGAGGGGGAGACGTAAGGAAAACAGTAGGAGGGAGCTCATCTCGCGCCCCAACTACTACTGTCATCCCTACGACGTCTCTGCCTGTCCAAAAGGCACCACCTCCCCCGCCTCCTGCTGAAGTCTAGTCGCCCAAATTCGTTTGTCGCCCTGCCGACAAAGTTCAACAGTCGGAGTCGATTCCATAGAAAAAGGGAAAATGGAAAGCCGTTCGGGAATCCTCTGCCTCATCCAAGCGTAGCAAGAGGGCTCTACTCAACGGTCCTCTCCTCTCTGGACCTATGAGTCCCAACTCGTGGATGGCGAAGCGCATCCACTTTGATCTTTTTGCCGAGGAAAAAGCTCTAGTTAAAGGAATGACCGAGGAGGAAGCCTCTAATATGGCTATGGAGTTGGCCGTTCGGTCTACGATGTGTATGGCTTACGTCGCTCAGAAGAGGGCATCGACTTCTACAGAGCTTTAGTCTCTTCAAGAGAAGTATGACGCCGTTGTGAAGTCCAACCAAGAATTGACGCTTCGCTTGGCCGAAATAGAAAGGATAGCAGATGAGGACAAGAAAAAAGCCAACACTCTGCTGGCCGAGGCCCGCTCTGCTCAACGCCGTATGCAACGGTCTTATTATGATTTGAAGCTTGACCTCCAAAATGCAACTACCAAAAATAAAGAGTTGGTGACTGAGAGGGATGGCATTCTAGTCGATCAAGATTCGCTTCAGGATCGAGTGTTGAAATTGGAGGCGGACAACAAATTTTTAGGCGATGAAGTAGTGAACGAGCATTTACTTGGCTTTGAGAAAGCACTCGCCCAGTGTAACATCCTTTTTCAAGTTCCGACCGAAGACCATCGTCTCTGGACCTATTAGTCCCAACTCGTGGGTGGCGAAGCGCATCCACTTTGATCTTTTTGCCGAGGAAAAAGCTCTAGTTAAAGGAATGACCAAGGAGGAAGAATCCAATATGGCTATGGAGTTGGTCGCTCGGTCTACGATGTGTATGGCTTACGCCGCTCAGAAGAGGGCATCGGCTTCTGTTAGTCTCTTTGGCAAGGGCACCAAATCGTTCAAGTAATAAACTGTGGTAAGACCAGGTATCGTTTTCCCAAGAGACTCGTAATACTAGAAAATTGTGCGATTAACAACTCATCTAGACTCAAGAACAACTCATCATTTAAGAATATGTGCAAAAAGATAAATTCACAAGTAATTACAAGGTTGGACTTTGGTATTGAAGGCACTTGGAAATGGAAAAGACTAGAAATGGTATGAAATGACATTGTTAAGGTTAGTTTTCACCACTCTTGTGTATAACCAATTTCATCTCCTCTCTATCAATTTACTAAAGTCAATCCACTAAAACACTCTAGCCCTAATCCCTTAGGTGAAAGAGCCTAGGTTTTCCTTATCAAACTCCAATCCCTTGGACAATCTAACAAACAAACCCGCATTAAGAACTAGGATCTAAGACAACATGTGAATCATATCTCATCCCTGGCTAAATGACCCACAAGGACTCTTGTTTCAGTTCAGGATTTCATATCCCATCCTTGGCTCAATGAAACCCCAAAATCAAGTCATGAATGTCTTCATTACATGCAAGCTTTAAGATCGGAAACAAGAATACTAGTAATAGATAGAAAATGCATTTATAAATACGAAACAATCATTCATTACACAAGAGTTCATAGGCTACATCTAACCCTAACAAGATGAATTTGGTTCTCCATTTCCATAGAGAACCCTAAAGCTTACAAACATGGAAGATGGAAGAAGAAGGAGACCCAAAGGAAGAGGAGGAGATGTTCCCACAAGCTCCTCGCGCCCTCCATGAGCTCCAGACGTGAAATCGCGCCTCCAAAGAACCAAAGACCCTTTTTTCGTTCTGCCTCATGAGTATATATACTGCCCG